CAATATGTCACCAATGAGATATATTGATGTAAATTGTGTATTGTTACTGGCGTATCACGTCCACCTCGACACAGCTCAATGTTAGCATAGCCGGGTAAAACAAAGTCTAAGCCCAAGTCAGCTATGGGACAGCCATCCAAGTCCAGTGATTCGATCTATATGTGAAAGCAGGAAGTTTATAAGTTTGCTTTTGCTCGTGAAATAAAGCAACTCTTTGCTTACCTTTTCAGTCTTTTCCATTGCATCTAGATTGGAATCGGCTAATACTAGCTCACGTTCATGTACCACATCCTGCAAACGTACCAATGTGATTTGTACTTCGGGCGCAACACGCGCCAAATCGGCCAGACCGACTGAGTGCTCTTCATTTAGTAGCCAACGATAAAATGGTATTGAGAAAGGTAGATCCAGCTGAAAAGATAACAAAATATTAATATATCTAGTCTAAAACGAGAGCAGTACAAAAAATTTGAATAATTTACCAAAAAGGGAATGGAAAAAAAATTAAACAAAAAATAAAAATAATGAAATAAAGTCTCTTTTGTAGGTATGCGAAGCGGACTCGGACAAAATTATTTGATACGAGTATTAGAGTAATACTTTACACTAGTGAAACTGAACATGTTCACATCATCAGAATGTTTTCTGGCAGCCATTAGAAAATACGCTGTGACTATCAACGCAAGACACTGAAATTTGATTGGGCTTTGAATATGGTCCATCGAAAATGAAGCCAACTTTGGAACCACCATGAAAGCAGTTCCTATGTTAATTAATGTTAATTTTTGTTAATTCTAAAAAATCAAATTTGTGAAAAAAGATCATTGATGGCAACGTCATACAACTTTTTTTGTTGCAAAAAAATGAAGACATATGTACAAGATAAATTAGCGAACTTCAGCCAAACAATTCACTTACCATTCGACTGTCCATTACAGCTTTAGCCATAAATTTTCCGAGGAATTTGAATTTCGCCTTAGATTTTGAAACATGCGGCAACTTTGATGATTTGCCCAGCGGCATAGGAAAGAGTCCATGTGGTGAATTTACATATGTCACAGATGTGTTTGTCGTTATAGTGACCGCAGAGGAGTTACTCTCGCCGATTTCAGGCGGTGTGCTATCGCCGCCATCGGATGGCGAAAGATTATGGTGTTGTTGTTGCAACTGCTGTTGCGTTATATTATGTAGTTGCAATTCGTCACCGCCAATTTGTTGCTCAATTATCATATTCAAGGCATTCTCATTTGACGACGATGTGCCACCAACCTGATCCATCGCCTGTTGATGTTGTTGTTGTTGTTGCTGATGATGTTGATGACTACGTGTAGACATGCCCATGCCACTACCACTGCTATTACTGGCACCGCCATGGTGGCCATCGCCAGTGCGATGAGTTCTGCTACTTGAACGCGTTACGGTGGTTGTACTTGCAGTTGTTGTTGTTGTGTTATTTGCTTGCACAACTGTTGTGTTCGTTACCGCTGTAACAGTAACGATGTCTTCTTGTTGCGCTGTCGTCACGTCACTCACTTCATCGATCTGTACGCTGGTGCTCGATTTCACTACATCCGCTATAGTGGAGGAGTTCTGCTTATAACTATCACTACCATTCCAGAGGCCCAGGTCACAACGCTGTAACTCAGCTGAGACCAAGGCATAAAACTCTAATGTTGGGCCAAGTCCAGTACCAACCTATTAAGTAAAATTGAGAAATGTTTGAGAACGGGTAATTAAGGCTTAATTGTTTTTTTTTATCACTTACCTCGTTCTCGTATTGTATTTCGAGCAATGCTTTCGAATGGCCAACGTCTTGAATAATGTGCTCAGCTTGCTTTAGTATATCCTCGCGTGAAATGGCACGTTTCCGCCTATCCAAGCGTGGTGCCACACGCTCCGACGATTCGGCTGCATTCAGATCAGGAGTCGTATCCAACAGTCGTTGCAAGGCGCGGTCACGGTCAAAGCTTGTTGCATAGAAGAGCAAATGGCGCGTTTCAAAGGGGAAGAGGAACGCACATGCCATACCAATTTGTGGTAGCCACTGCGGTAAATTGCCGGTCATGATTACAAGTGGATCTTGCAGCTGTCGATTGGCCTTGGCTGTGATCTTTGGATGCACAAATTCTGACTGAGGCACAATGTGCTGGCGATGCACGCAGCCATACAACTGCTCCCAATGCCGATTGAGCGCATTTATTATACGTAGCATACATAGCGCATCTAACGAGGCATCCTGCACTGTCACCACATCGGGCGGCAGTGTGTTGGTAAGGAATGCTTTAAGTGCAGACACCGTACTGGGCGCTATGCCCTCATGCCACAATTCGGTCTTCTTGCGCAACAACTTGGACGATGATTTGTTACCTTTTTTTGAGGACGTGGACGTAGCAGAAGATGATGTGCCACATGTGGGTGTATGCAGGCCCGAACCAGAAGTGCCAGCTGCAGCCGATGAGGATGCACCACCACCGTGTTTGCCAACATTTAGACTTGCAGTAGAACTAGTTGTCGCACTAACACTCGCCTCTTCCTCCATGGGGCGGTAATAAATTGTATGCTGTTGCACCCAAACGCTAGCATTACCCAGCGGTGTCTCGGTGTCTGTATCAGTTTCCGACTGATCATTCACCAGAGGTGAAAACTGCTTAACTGCTTGATAGACAGTCATGTTATAGGGCAAGACGTGATCACCGATCATGAATTGTAATTTGTGCTTGAATCCACTTTGTGACATCACAACAGCGGCCACGTTGTCATCCATATCCTCCTCTGAATCATCATCTGAATCGCCGCGTATACCGCCATAGCCACGCACAACCAGGTAGCGCTCGATCGCCTGCACCATGGCGAGAGGGTCGATTTTGACGGTGCCACCTTTCCATTGCCGGAGATTCGTGCAGTCAGGATGGCGTTGTAAGTTACACTGTGAAAATTAAAAAGAAAAATGTTACACTTATTTACAATATGAATGTAAGATTCTTTAGGAGAGACGACAATTGTCCTCTATCGCACATCGATAAACATTTTTGGGAAGCATAGCAATTGAAACTCACCTTCAGTTGATGCGTATTGAAGAATTTAAGCGCACTTGTGTTGGAGCGTCCGCCAGGGCCGGAGGGAAAGTCGTGCACCTTCACTGGGAACTGTTCCAGCTGAGTGACGCAACCATTTAGTTTCGCAACGAATGCATTGAATGCTACAGCATCAATGTTCGGCATTTGTCCCACCTTCTTTAATGGCTCCAACGGCAAGCCAGCGAATACGTGCATAAATGCCCGCAAGCGCGCATCTCGTTCCACGATGCCATCTTCGCAAGTCATGAAATTCAGCATTGCCTTGATAAGACCTGAGTGATTCACTTCAAATGGTGAAATATCACTTTCTAGTAAAATAGTTTTCAATTCAAGCAGCGCATCTAAGCAATCTTGGAAGCTACCATTTAGCTTGAAGATAATGGTGGATAACCGTTGCAGCACGTTGGTGCCGCCGCTTGTGGCGCTAGCTGAGCCGCTGTTACCGACGGCACAACCCTCTGCTTTCGCATTCTCTTGTTCGGCGTAACGTTTCACAAACGCAATGGCTTGCTCTCGCACCCATTGGCGTGCCTTCTCACGATTGCCTGCTGCAATGAGGTTCGCATTGGATATGCTCTTGCTAATGCTATTCGCGGCACTGCCCGCGCTGTGGCTGGCAGAATGTGCTGCACTAACAGCGCTGCCACTGTTGTTGCTGCCGCTGCCGGTGTGGTTTGAACTGGCCGCATCTTTGGTAAATGAACTATGGTGAGATCCTTGGCGTCCCCAACGTGCGGGGTTCAGCGAGGCGAGGAATGAAGTTTTCGTCGAACTACTTCCACTGCTGCTAGTGCCGGCACTGCTGGTAGCCCCGCCGCCGCCGCTGAAGCGTGATTTGCTACTGCTGGCGCTGGGTGTGCTGCGACCGGTGCCGCTGCCAAGACCTATTGTGAAACAAGATACTATTAAGCAATTTCAAAATCCGTATTTGCGTACTCAAGTTTACTTACTTGTAGCACGACTCAGCAAATCGTGCATTGAAGATGTGGAGGAGCCGCCTCCTTCTTCCTGGCGCGACTTTGAGCGACTGCTAGATTGTGATTTCCGTTTCGGTGGGACCTTGCGCTTCAACATATCGGACATCTTGTGTTGCAACGCAGAAGCGGACGAAGATGAAGCTGTGGATGAGCCTGTGCTTGTGGCCGCTACACCACTATTGCCGCTATTGCTCTGATAGTGTGGATCGCACCCGCTTGGTGTCGGCGCGAACACCACTTGTGGCAGATGCTGCTGAGGTGGCGGATGTGCCATTACAGTTGGTGGATTGCTGCTAACGGCCGCACCAGATGATGACGGCATTATTTCGACATGATGTGTGGCTGGTGGTGGTGGAGCATGAGGCTGAAAGTGCGGTGGCGGATGGTGGAAGTGGCCGTGCACGTATTGCCGGGGATCACCGGGCGGTAATGGCGGAGCAGCAGCGCTAGTGGAGTAAACAAAGAAGTTCGGTGCCTGTGCAAGATGTGTGTGCGTGGGTGGTCCAGCAGCCGGCGGAGCAGAGCTGCTGTAATGGTAATGCAACTCGGTCGCCGTGCCAGCGCCGCCAATCACAGCAACAGGTGGTGTGATACCTGTGCTGGAGTTAATCGTAAGCGCAAGCGACCCAGTGGATTGCTGACGTGGCTGCACACTACCAGCAGGCAGTTGTGACATTAGCAGAGGACCACTGCTGCTTGGTGGCATTGCCAAGGTGACTTTTTGACCATTGCCAGGAGTCGATGCGTTGGCAGTTAAGGCGCTCATTGCATGTGAAAAGCTTTTCACTGTGTATTGGTGGTGATGGCCTTGGCTCGCACCTGGTTTCGACGAATTGGGAGTAGAGTTGCCCGCTGTTGTTGAGCCGCCTGCTGACACCGTGCTGTCCATGAAAAACGGGTTCACCTGCAGACCGGACGCAGATGGAGGTGCACTCTGGGAACCCCCACTAGTGCCTGGTAACGGCTTGGGTGAGGGATTGGCACAAATAGGATTGTTGGGATCGGTGAGCTGCGTGATCTGATAAATTACACCCTCGCGTCGGAAGTGTGTGCCGAACACGTCTGGCAGCTTTTGCATCAAAATCTCGGCCATCTGCAGTGCGCCAACCACTATGCGCAAATCGTTGCTGCCCATCATGCCAGCTATGTGACTGGAGACCAACTGATTCTTTAGCACATCTCGCAGAAGTTCGGGTGTGGCATAGTAAACCATACGCAACAGCGCGCGCAAACATTTGTAGCGTACATTGGGGCCAGCAGAGGAGCTATACACTTCGTAAAGTACGTTGAAGAGGTTCTTGATGAACTCCGCAGCTAAACCGCGTTCCTCCTTGAGACAAGCGATGCGTGCATCCACCGATGCGCGTCGACGCTGTTGAGCGCTGCTGGTGCCAGGCGTATTTGGAGCCGTGCTGGGTGTGCTGGACTGTGCTGATGTGCTTGCCGCTGTGTTCGCTACTGTGCTGGTTAACGCTGTAATTGCTGTGGCCACCGCAGAAGCCGACAAATCCTGCCCAGCTGATGAAGCCGCTGCAGTCGGTGGTGGTGGCGGTGGCACATAATTTGGATTAATTTTGCGCTGCACTGGACGCGTTGTGCCAGTGTCTTCGTTAATCTGCTGCATTGAATGAAAGTCGACGGTGTATGTACGACCCAATGTACTCAAACTGAACTCGTCATCCGAATTCAAATGTGCCGCCTCAATCATACGCGAATCAATGGTCGAATAGTTATGCCAAGTGCCACGATCATCACGCCACTGCCATTGCACTTGGTCCTGAGTGTTGAGTGTGGGGCGATCCAACAGTGTGTCCACTGTAAAAATACCATCTGTAGGCAGCCGCGGCATTAGTTCGCCAATCAAACAAGTTATCTCGTACAGCTCAGATGGGGAGCGTGTTATGAGCTCGACATGCGACGTGGTCGATGTGTTGGGCTCTGCATTGCCAGTAAGCAAGTAAAGCAGTGTCGATGCAATGTCGTTCTTCAGAAGCGAAATGGCCAGATCAGGGCAGTTGCCACACATCAGGCTCAACATGCGTACGACGGATGTGAACGTGCCGGTGTTCAGTATAGTTGGTGTAACAACCAACAATTGCTGGCAATTTTTAAGCAACTCCTTGCTAGCGATCTCTTGTAACCGCTTAGGATCATGCTGGAAGCTCTCTACCAAACGACAAAACGCCGAGCAAACGCTCTCAACGCACTTCTTGTCTTGCTGCGACAACAACCGAGCCAAAAGCGGTAAACTCTCCGCGACAAAGTGAAATTCCTCCGGGTGCAGATTTAGACAACAGTTCGCCGTAATAGCTAGCGCTGCACGCTGTGCATTGATCGAGAAGAAATCTAGGAAGGTCAGACATGCCGAGACGCCATTGGCTTGCAGTATCGCTTTGTTATGACGACGCGATAATATCTCGAGTGCTGTCAAACTCTGCTCCGCAACATCCATGCATTGAATGGCTTGCAATTTTTCAAGGAATACCGGCACTGCTTCGACAACGGTACCTGAGGAACGTGGGAGCGCCTCCAACATGTAGGCGAGAGCACGACACGCATTGTTCATAATATCGAAATTGTTTTCCATACGCAGCAGCGTAATCAGCGCCGGTACCACCTGCTTGATTGGAAAGCCGGCTAGCGTGTCCTCATTGCCCATCACTAGCATTTGACACATCTCGATAGCGGCCTGCAGCTGTTGACTCTCATCGTGCGATTGCAAGCCTTGCAACAACTGTTGCGCCTTCGACGAACTGCTATTGCCAATGGTGCGATGTAAGATGTGGGTCATGCGTGGTCCCAACGCTCCAAAGAGATGCGGCGGTAGGCCACGCGCCTCCAATAACGCCTGTAGACGCCCCACTTCGCTGTCATCGCTCTCCGAGTCGGCGTGCGAAGTGGCGGCAGTGGTGGCGCCTGTTCCCCCAGTATTTGTGGCCGTCGCGGCAGCAGAAGCGGTGCCCACACCGGCACCCGCACCAGCTCCCGCACTTGCGTTATTTGCTAGATTTGTGTTGGCGGCGCCCAAGGCGGTAGAGACGCTGAGGTTAGCTGCAATACAACGAAGAAAAAATAAATAAAATGATGGAATTGATTGAATATGAGAATAAGATTATACTTCAATATATATATGTAGATATTTTTAGCTGCATACATACATATGTATGCGTAAAGTACAAATGATTTGAAAAAAATATGTATTAAAATTAAAAGAGTAAATACAGAAGTGCTGTCACCGCTTAGCAGGGCAGGCAGGTAAATTGGGTCAGTCGAAGGAAACAGTTAAGTGGGGAAACAGAATAGGGCTTTGTCGTATAAAATAAGGAAAACGGATAAAAGCAATAAAACAAAAAAAACTGCATAGCACACTTTAAGAGTGAAGCCAACTTAAGAAAATAGTTAAAAAATATACATATGTGCATACATATACATATATTTACAAAATAAATATAGATAATGGAAACAAAGGAAGTAAAACATGTTGATGAAGCGGTTGATGAGAGGATTTGCTTATATTCGGTTAGCACTTTTCGTCATTTGTTGGTTTTTCGTTTTCTTTTTCTTTCAAATTACCTGTGGTCGATTGTCCACCTGTATTCGGCGGTCCAGTCGGCGGTTGTTGTGCCATTAAACTATAACTTAACGCATCCGCAGAAGCTGTTGTGTACAAAATATATGCGTGCGTTGTGGTCGTGGTCGTGGTTGTGGTGGTGGTGGTGGTAGTTGGATGTGGTAGTGGGTGGTACGAGTAGTATGCGCCATGAAAGTAGAGAATTTTTCTAGGTTCTTATTAAAATCATTAAAACATGCTTATAAATTTACAACACAGTGCTTAAAATAACTTTAAAAGCACCCATTTCCACACTCTGCCCACGCCCACGCCCACTACTACCGATGGAGGACTAAATACACGAGAAAACCAGACTACATATTTTTCAATTAACCGCGTTAACTAACTTCTTATTTATAACGACATATTTACAGTTTTTAAAGCCAGCAACTACATAAATGTATATACATACATTAAAATATATGTAAATGCATACCCCTATGCAAAAATATATGTATGCTTTCTCATTTTATAAAGGACTACAACTGCATCTCAAAATTTGCAAACGCAACTATCTGCTCCTTAGTGTTGCCTATACATATGTATGTGGGTTTCAAACGCAAAATTACGAGGGATCAGGCGGATACAATTTCATTAATACAAGCGTTACCTAATAAGTACTTAGTGAAACATCTAAACATGTAAAAGTATTTCAAGCTTATTAAGGGAAATTGAAGAGATTGAGATCCACGTTACCGCAAAGACTCACGAATCATAACCAACCAAAAACTTTCACATAAGGAAACATTTTTGGGTAGTTATAGGGTAGGTGGCCACCATAGCTGACTGGTTAGAAGTGCGAACTTCCAAGCGATAGGACCCAGGTTCGATCCTTGATCTGAGCGACATTTATGAAACAGTTTTTTTCTAAAAGCGTTTGCTCTTCGGTAAGCAACGACAAACCTGCCATGAAAAAGCTTTCCATTACTGACTACAGCACGACGCCCACTACAAACTAAAGGAGTTATCGGGCAAGTACTTAAAAAAAAAATATGAGTGAGGGTAAAAATGTATGCCTAGGATTACGAATTTAGAGCGAACTCTTTTTATATTGCATCATAGCAAGAAAAATCTGTTTAGAAACTCAGTCTTTCTAGAATGGAATTATATAAATAAATTTGTACGAGCTTCCAAACAATTTTGTACATTACGATAGATATGGATAACCCGTCAATTTGACACAATTTTCAAGTGTACTCTGAAGCAATTATATAACGGATAAATGATATGCCGTGTTGATCGGAAAAATTCGCTGATTAAAATAACAAAATATGCTACTTCAATTTGACAGAAAATAACTTAAATTATTGAGATGAAGATGGAAGAAATACCCTTCGGATAGGAATAAATATCGTTTTGTCAAGAAGGATACCAGCAGCAAGAAATGCACTTTCGTAGAGGAAGAAATGCCCTTCTATATAGATGGGAAATGACCTTTTGTAGAGGAGGAAATGCGTAAGCTTAATCACTTTCGCGTAAACAACTGCCATTGTTTTCCTATTTCATAAAAAAAAATCATTGGTTTACTAATCGATCACGCGAAAGTGATAAGTCACAGCGTAGAAGGTACTTCCCACTGCAATTACGTAGAAAATTTCTTTCTTAACAAAAGGATATTTCTTCCATCTTTATACGATGAATGGGAAACAAACCGTCAGCGATATTAGCAGCGATACGCTAATTGGAAATGTAATTATTTAAGGTTAGGTCCAAGAATTGTCTAGCTAAGCAGTGCAGGATTTAGCCCACTTGTTGATATGCTTTTTGATGTATGTAATTTTTAAAGAATCCGAATAATGAGCTCGGTGCAACGAACAGGGCGTGTGACCCTTTTTTTTAGCTCAGAGTTTCCTTTTTCACTGCCGTCATAGCCCTCATGACTTCGCACCCAGATTAGGGAGATTTTATTTTGGGTGGGCTAGTTCAATGAGCGCTCACTGGTCCTCTAGAAGAGATTCTGGTGAGAATGAATATATTTCTAGAGCTTTGAGAACAGTTTGACTGTCCGAAATTGTGGAGATCTTTGTTATGGCATACTGCCGGTTTACTAAGAGATGGGCGGTCTCAGGTATTGCAACCAGAGGTCAGCTTGAAATATTGTTGCATCTTTAATTAAAGGATAATATGTGTGGATTCGGGTTCCCACAATACCCACACCTACACCGGGAGGGACCATCAGTTTAAATTTTATTGTGAATCGTCGAGCATCCATGTTTTTGTTTAAAAAATATTCCCTGCCAAGTCAGTATTATTTTTCAATCAAAACGGCATATCCGTTATGGAATTTTTTAGACGTCAACTGTCCGATTGACTGGTTTAGTACCTAGAATTAGGGCTTGTAAGATAGAGAAGCTGACATATTTTAGTATACGGGCGAATTTGGAAAGCATTGGGGCATTTTAATTCCATAAAATGATATTGCTAGCATATAGTATGTGTGTACGAAAACGCTTCACGTGGTCCAAAGTTATGCGGTAAAAATTCCGATGAACTTATACCCTCCCTCTTTTTTGAAGTCGGTTAAAAATATGCATCGCTATTATGGTTTCTGACGGATGCCATCCGCAAGCATCTAATCCGATTCGCACTGTCATAACAAGCGAGTGAGAAGAATTAGATTCATGCGAATGGCGTCCCTCCCTCCGATGCATTCCTATTCCGGTCCGACAGATTCCATTTGCACAAATGTACTCCTTCACACTCGCTTGTTATGACAATGCGAATCGTATAAGATCCGTGCGGATGGCATCTGTCGGATACCGAGACAAATCCGTTTGTTCTTTTGGGAAATGGGAGATAGGAATCTTGGTTTTGATTTTCTCTGTATTTTCTCTCATAAAATTAAAGAGAGCCTTCATTGGGGTATTGCTCTATTTCTATAGAGGAATAGGTTGCAACAGTCGTTCTGTTTCTGCAGCTACTGATACAATAAAAAACGGCAATTTTGTGCATTGGAGATTTAAACTCCTCAGAATATGGAGGAACAACTTGACGGGCTGTGGTAGATAAAGGGAAGACCGCTTTCCTGTGATGGAAAGATCTGGTGGGGAACGTGGTTTCCCTAAGCCGTTTCCAATTTGGGTCAGATCACATTCGACCAAAATGGCTTAGGCTGTTATTTACACCAAGCAAGTAAAAAAGGCTTGAGTTCGTTTTCACGGCAGCCGGGTCTACGTAACCGGAACGACCGAGATTTATATCTGGCCAAGGGCTATCACTTCAGCAGTATTCTCCGAAATTGCGAACGAACTTAATGACTATTTTTGTTAACGCAATGACACGAACATTCGTCAATGCCCAACTTTGTGATTAAACTTTTTTTTCATTTAATGCTCAGTGAAAATATGGCATTTTTTTCGCTTAATTCTGAAAATTTATTATTACTTTCAAAAATTATTTTTTTAATATATTTAAGGAAACCGTAGCAAATTGCGTTTAGAAGAACTAAGTAATGGCTGAACCCATTTTATTATTAAATCTTCGAAAAAATTATAAGGCAAAACAAAAACAAATCTTTCATAATTTGTTTTTTGTTTGCCTGTAAAATAATGGGAACGATTTATTCACGTTGAATGCGTGATGACCCCAATTGTGTTTTGAAATTATTTATATCGGGTTTCACTGCTCAAACTTGCACATTTGCCAAAGATCGCTATGATAAAACGAACAAAATTTTTATTTACAAATAAAAGCCACTGGGGTAGATAGTTTACTGAGGTATGCATTACGGCCTAAGCACCTATTGTACCTAGAAATAGCTTACGAACAAACAGCTGTCTAACACGGAAAAACTTCATGTTTTTCACACCTAACCTCAAAATCAAATAATTTTAAAACAATCCACCTAAATGCATAGCTATTCCTATCGCGCACCCTCGAGTGTTAATCCTGCGCCCACAATCGTCTTAATACCCACCCACTTCTCCTTTAAATACTTCAATAGCCAACACCTTTCTATTTCCCTCTACCGTTATTTACAGGTTTAAACATTATAGCATAAAAATAAACCAAAAAATAAAGTAGCAACGTCTTGCGCTTGGAAACGATTGACCTACAACTATACTTGCACAGGTACTGGTGGCGAGGTGACAGCGAAAGAAAAAAAAAACAACGAAAATTAACGAGAAAACCAAAAACATCAACCCCGCATATGCTGCACACACTTACCGCTCGCTTTATTATGCGCATTCATATTTATGTGGCTACTATTCGTTGCGACAGTGGCGACGCTAGCGGTGTTGGCAGCAGCGGTGGTAGTGTTGGCATTAGCGGTGGCGATGGCGGCAGTACTCGCAGACGACGCACCAACGAGGTGACTCGACGATGACGACGATGAAGACATCGCAGCATTCAAATGTGCATTGGCAGCAGTTGCCCGGTAATTATAGAGGAAACCGGGTTGCACGATAGTGGCGCCACGATGATGCGCCTGTTGTTGCTGATGCAATAACGTTGCAGTATTGCTTTGATTTTGATTTTGTGATGTAGCAATGGCAACAACCACGGCACCTCCTGGTGCGGCAGCAACCGAATGATGGAGCATGTGATGATGCTGTTGCTGCGGTTGCGGTTGATGATGGTGCGGCTGATGCTGATGAAGGTGAGCATGCGCGGGCGCGTGGTGCGAGTGGTGGATATGATATTGATGATGGTTCTCCATGGCAGCGGCAGCTGTCATTAGCGTGGCACTGCCGCCGCAGCCAACGTTGCCGCTGCCACTACCACCACTCGTTGCTGCTAATAGCGTTGGCGCCGATACGAGTGCAGCGTTGTGATGTATTCTTCCCAGAGCGCTGCTACTTCCAATACCACTTCCGCTGGCGCCGCTTCCACTCCCGCTGCCACTGCCGTGTTGCGCTGCCGAGCTGACGCAAGAACCCGTTTTGCTTCGTGAACTGCGCCTGAGCGAATGTGAAGAATGTAACGATGTCGCCGCCGCCGTCGATGTGCCTGCCGTTGAGCTGGAGCCTACCACTTCGGCTGCCGCGACTACTGTGCGACCTTGCCCGTAACTGTGCTGCGCTGCGATTTGTGCGTTCAAGTGTGGCGTAAAAGAGGGTGTAGCAGCCGACGAACGATCAACAACCAAGCCGGTGCCTAGTCCAATATCAATTGTCGCCGGATGTATTTGATGATGTTGCGCAGAAGCTACTACTGCTGCTGCTGCTGCTGCTGCTGCCGCCGCTGATGCTGTAGGCGGCGGATGTGGAATTCGGTGCAGTGGCTGTGCTTGGGTTTGTATGTGTGTGAGGGGCAACGGTAGCGCTGGCACAGGTGGAGGAGGCTGCTGGTGCAAATGCGGATTCGAGTGATGATAACGTCCACTTAGCTGTATATGCAACGGTGGCTGTTGCGCTATTTGTTGATGCTGCGGCTGCGGCGCGGGCGGCGGCGGTGCTTGTTGCTGCTGCTGCGGGTGCTGCTGATGCTGCTGCTGGTAGATAAGCGGTGCGCCGGTAATGGGTGCTGTACCAGCAAGGCGTCCTGTTGGTTGATAGTGATTAAGATTTAAATTTAATATGGCTGTGGTTGAGGCTGCGACTGCGGCAGCGGCGGCTGTTGTTGCTGCTACTGCGCTATTGGTCGCGGGGTATGGCGCGTGATAAAAATGCACGGGTTGTTGTTGTTGATGTTGCGCATGCACGTGGGCGTGGGCATGCCCGCGTGCCTGCACTTGCAGTTGTGGTTGAGTTTGCACTTGCGCGTGCGCGTGCTGTTGTTGTTGCGATTGCGCTTGCAATTGTTGCAAGCGCGTTTGTGATTGTTGTTGTTGGTGTTGCTGATGCTGATGATGACGTTGTTGCTGGTGTTGATGGGATTGCGGATGCGCATGCGGAAGCGTATGCAAATGAGGTTGATGTTGGTTTTGTTGTAGATTGTGCTGTTGCGATTGCAGCTGCGCCTGATAGTGCGCCTGCGGATTGTAATGGTAGTGTTGCCCGCCAGCTGTAGCGTGCAAATAATGTGTTTGTTGCAGCGGCTGATGATGGGGCAGCACAACCTGGCCGGCTGCCTGTTGTTGGCCACCACCTGGCTGCGTAAAGTGTGCGGAAACCAACGGGTGGTGTGGCAATGGTTGCTGATGCTGATCTCTCGGTAGCTGTGGCTGTGGCTGAGGCTGCGGCCGTTGTCCAATTGTTGTAGCTGCCGCTACACCCGAAACGGACGCGCCACCTCTAGCGCCACCCGCAATTGTCGCTGTGCCAGTTAAACCGCCGCCAGCAACAAAATCTGTGCTGCCACCACTGTTGCGCGTCTGTCGTGCCCCCAGATTCGGGGCTCTGTTGTAGCCCGTCGTCGTAGCTGTGCTTTTGCAAGCGGACTCTGTAATACCAATCCTTTTGCTGCCGTTCAACCGCTTTTTGCCTGCGCTTCTACCGCTACCGCTACTGCTGCTGTTGCTTCTTGTGCCTCTGCTACGATAATTCCTGCAATTTTTACTGTTGTAGAATTTTATGCGACGTTGTCCTAAGCGCCGACGTCTGTGCTTATTCTTCTTGCTCTTTTGCTGCTTCTTGCTGTTGATGATCCTTCTTTTCACAAGTGCGATTGTTAGGTTGCCTTTTCGCCAGTCCAGGTGTAAGCAAACAGAAGAAAATTCTTGTTGTAGTAGTTGTTGAAGCAATAAATTTTTTATCTGTTCTTGTTTTTTGAGTTATTCGTTCATAAATAGTTTTAATTTGATATCCTGAATGAATGGAGAAGCGTGTTTGACGTAACTATTTTATTCTGGTTTTAAGTGAAGCTGCTAATGAGTTAAAAGGAGGAATGAAGGTGTTGTTGATGGCTATGGTGGCTAGTGACTAGTGAATGACTGATTGACTGACTGATTGACAGACTTGTCTGGTGGTTGGCTAGATGATGATAGCTAGCTGTTAGGTATCAATGATGATGAACTCAATCTCGTTGATCTCTTCATAAATTGCTGCTGCTTTGACGACGATGATGTTGTTGTTACTGACGCTCGTTTCGCGTCGCAACCCAGCAGATGCATTAAATCAGTAAATTAATCCGTGTACAACTTCGTACTTTGCAACGCCGCTCTCTCTTCTGTCACTCGCCCTCCAACTTATTAAGCTTCTCAAGCTGCGCGCTGTTTAAATTCGTTCTTCGATTGTAATAAAGGTTTTTATTTGCTTACGTAGCTTTATTGTTATTTGATTTATGCTGTTTTTGCATTCACCATTCACTTTAAACCTTGTTGTTGTTGATGCTGTTGTATTTGCTTACAAACTTGGAAAGTGCCAATTATTGCACTTACTAAGAACGCGTATAGGACGATAATGAAAACGCTGGAGACCAAGAGTCTGACGACAATGACGATGTAGGGGACGACGAAGACGACAACGACAACAACAACAACATCATCATCCTCATCCTCATCCACAACAACAATAGTAATTTACGACGCCGAATGATTGAATGTTACGAGTACTTATAGCAATTTATTTTTTCTTAAAAAATATTTTTAGACTAAAATTCCTTTATTTAACTTCAAACTTGTATTTTGAAACAAAAAAAATAGCATTGATAATTTGAATTTTAAATTTATTTAACGTATAAAGAAAAACATAAAACGTAAGCAAATTATAGTTTAAAAAAGACAACACCAAGTAATAATCTCTTCAACTACAACTGCAACAACAGCAACGTGCAAAAATTTACGCTCGCTTTTAATTTTATTTTATAATTATGCATTTTTTTATTTACGAATTTTGTATTTGTTTTATTTATTTTTAGTTTTTTTCTCTTCATTCCGTGGCGTCTTATCTTGCCACTTCTTCAACAATATAACCCACTGCTTTTCTGCTTTCTTCTGTTTTTATAAGTTTTTCTTTTGCTGCCTTCTACTGTTCGCTACAGCTACAGCTTTGCATGCATTGGCAATTTGAATCACACATTTCATATTTCATACTATGTACATATAATAATTATAGTCCCTTGGCTCTTGAAATTAATTTTGAAACATTTCGTCTTGGCTAATCCAGTGTGTGTATGGTGAGAGGCTTGTGGTGCTATAGTTAAAAATTTAAAAGAAAATACGGCTGCTCTTGCACTTTTTAAAATCCTATTAAAAAATTGTTCTTTTTTTAATTTGCTTGATTGGTTCGTCGCCATCGTTGTAGTCATCTGCCAGAGCTGCCACCTTCGTTCGCTAATAATTTGGCTCCTTGATTTCAAAACAGCATAGAGCTATAAAATGTAATCTACATTCGCGTGTAACTGCCTTGCAACACAAGCAAAGGCTCAATTAAGAGCGCCTTATACTTACGTACATATTAACAGGTATGAAAATTAAGATTTAAATGATAAAAAAAGAAACATAAAAGGTAACTTTACCAAGCAGTGGGCCCGCCCACACTTATTCTAGACAAAAATGTGGATTAAAAGCTGCCATGATAAGTTATGGACAAAAGCACAGTTTAAAAAAATGTGAGTGAGTAGTACGGATATATAAGAATTGGTTAGTTAATTAAATTGTGTGTTAAAAAGTGTGTTAGTACTTATTATAATATAAAATTAACGTTATCACACAATAGACTGTCTGCCTTTTTCTGGCATATCATCTATATACAGCCGCTCAGCCCTGTAATAAGGTGACAGCACTGTTTTTTTTTTGTACTCTTTGTATTTTCTTCTCCAGATTCATTAGCTCTATGATTTTCTTTCATACATATATACAAAAATATACAACACAAAATTACACATGATGTGCCTAGTATATCATAAATTCATGTATTTACAGATCGAAGGTGTAAAATATACAAAGAAATTTGAAGTTTTGGTTAAACCACCAGGCAACACATATCCGGGCATCTCAAAATTCAAATATTAAGATTTATACATACTTACATGTAAAATTGTAGTAATATATTGTAAGCTTCGTTTTTAAAACTGCCCATTGATAAAAAATCATATATGAGCCGTTCCATTGAGGCTGGTGGGACATTTTACTCCAGAATGTGATCAATTGTGAGTTATAACTAAGTATGTCGTCGGAACTTTTACAACAGCGAAATAGATTTTTAACATAGAACGATAACCGATGTATAAATGGCTTTAACAAAATTACCAAACGATTTATTAGTTTTATTTAACTATCATTTGAATAAATGTGACCGGTGGGACACTGAAAAGAGCTCTATTTTATCCTTGTGCACTCAAAGATAAATCTTAGCCAAAAAACTTATGGCCCTATTATATATGTGGCGACTGGTGTCTAGTTGCTGGTCTAGTAGCCGTAGCTACCAGTATCGTATTTTGTAACAGAAACAGAAAATTACGCTAGTAGACTCAGTAGCCGACCTTCAGAACCCAGTTGCGATACTTAATGCGAATTTTAGTATATGGTTGCCCATCGGCCATCAGTCGCCATACATATATAATAGGGCCATAATTATGCATGCAGTTTTATAGCCCAGAAAAAATTTGCAAATTAGTATGCCAAGTTATTGAATTTTCCTGAGTTTGGCACAAAGCTTAGAGGTGCTATTTTTACTAGAGGGGCCAGTTACTATAGAAATTCTACCGTTTTTCTTTTCTTTTTTTTTTAGAGCCCTGGCGATGTTTTCAAACGTGGCACGTCCATTAAGTTTTAAGACACAAAATTACTAAATCGTGGCTAAAAATTTGTATATCGTTTTTTTTTTAATATTTTATAAGCATTACAGTTTAACGGGGCGATAAATTCTCTATAACCAATGTTTTTTATAAAAACCATTTGGTCGTCAAACAAATGACCTTGGTCTGAAGTATGTGAAATTTAGAACTACAATCTTGTCAAATGAACGAAGTGTACTGGCAGGAGCATACAATTGTTCATGAGAAAATACAGGTCATACAAAAGGCGGGAATGATTGAAAACTATATACCAGGGATTAATATTCGCAAGCCAATTAAAATGCCAGTTAAATTTTCACAATCTAAAGAGTACCATTCACCACAGCCTTCTTTGTGTTTACATATCGACCCCTGATTGCGATTTTATGGTAAGCGACAAAAGGTAAATTTTACAGGAGGTTTTTTTAATTCTCACTTAAACAGTGTAAAAATTTATTTGTATATAAATGGACAACAACATTATTGAATGATAGCTTTCTAATGGGACTATTTATTTTTTGCATACCTATTTTTTAAAGATAAAATAGTGTTTATGATATTTTTCCTGAACATGCTGAGAGGAAAGTTACCAAAGAATTGCCGCTTGCGATGTTTTTATGTTGTATAATCTGGACATTTATACACGAAGGTGTGCGGGTACCTTAAGGATTGTTTGGAAAACTGAATTTTAAGTCAATAAAATATAAACACTGCAAATCGGCAGAATAAGCTCAAAATATTTTCAACATTAACTGTTTGGTGCATCTACTGGATTGTCTACAAGTTTTCTTCGTGGATGCAGCGATAAAGCTTATTCAATTCTCTAACAATCTAAAATGATTACATTGACGCTACTATTTGGTATTTTTAGACATTTTTTTAAAGAATGAGAAAAAAAGATTTAATCCTTGACCAGTAGCTCGTTTCTGTAACAATTCTGTACCAAGGCGAATTGAGATATGAATTCGCCGCCCTGTTCTCTACTGCTAATGAGTAGTAGAGAATGACATATATTCTCTACCAGTAGAGAAATAATCGGTAGAGAAGAGTTACGGAAACGAGCTACTGAATAGGTTCATGGCCAAAATCTTCATATTTAGGAGATTTTTGGTAAGTTTCGAAATCGAAAAAATTGCTAAACGTAAACTTTTAATCCAGAGATTAAAATCAAAAGCTGAAATTTTATAAAATAAAGGCTGAAGTGCAAAAGTTATGATAAGTAAAAGGATAAAATCAAAATCTTATAAGCAATTTGAAAGGAGATAAACGGCAAAATTAAATAATCTCGAAAATGTGAATCTATATGGCCGTGTACGCTGGTGTTAAGATGGAAATTCGAATTCAGTTGCAATTTTTTCTAGACCAATGCCTACAATAGGAATACAAACCCCGTTAGGTGTCTGTTTTTCATCTATCTGATATGCTTTTAAATCTTATTTGGCAAAGCAAGAGTTTCAAAAAAGACCCCGCTAGACGAGCTACGCTGCACGTAGTGATTGCAGCTGCAATTGCATAATGGCAGATTGCACTTAATATTGATGAGGGAAAGAAGCTGGGTTTTAAGCAACAAGTTGTAGCAAGTGCCGATGGAACTTTGGTTAAAACTACCGTTCGAACTGCTATTTACAATTAAGTTCTGTACACAGTGTCGCTTACGATAAAATTGTAGGAACTCAAATGTGTAAACAAAGCAAACGATAAAATTCATTTTGCTTTTTTTTCGTCTTCAAAGTCTCTGATTTTGCAGAACGTTGTAACCACTATTTGTAACCTATTTGCAGCAAAAAAAAAATTTGTCGATAATTTGTCGCTTACGATAAAATCGATATGTTGCGTGTAGGTAATTTAATTTTTTTGCGTACCAGTTTATGTAGAGGCAAACCGCAGACAGATAAATCGTTCAAAAATTCAGTAGTGTAATTGTTGTGCTTCCGAACATCATCAGAATTAATTTCAGCAACACTAAAGTATCATCGTTTTTAAGATTTCACGAGAAATTGGCATATTCCATTACCAAGTGATTTGAGAAACTCTACAAGCTCAATTTCCTGTGGAGGAATGGGAAAAATTCAGACCGAAATTTAACGCAATTTTCAATTAGGGTGATACGGGAACCATTGGACACTATGTATCTCAGATAATTCTCGACAACTCGAAAAATTTTAAAACATTGACGAATTTAGATAACTCCATACATTTCAGGAAGTCGATACATTTCAACAATTCGATACGTATGGATTGCTCAATGAACTTTAAAAACACTCAATAAATTCGATAACGCTACAAATTTCGATAACTCTACAAATTTCAATATCTCTACAAATTTCGATATCTCTAGAAATTCGATAAGTTTATATAACTATGCATTTCCAGAACTGTATAAACTTCGATAACTCAAAAATTTGCATATCTCGAAATGTATCTATAACTCGATTTCGTTAGCTCCATAAATTTCCTGGTACTCGATAAAATTCGATAAATCACAAAATAGTGATAATGCGATAAATTCATGTATGAGATAAAAAAGAAATGCTAACCAATTTTTTTCAAACCCTGTCGGAAATACCAACAACAAAAATGAGAATTTTTTTCAAATCCTTGGTCCGATTCCCATTACCTCCAACTTTTGGAAATTTATAGCCCAGTGTTTTTAGTGGCAGTTGAAAATTCAGGCTGGAAATATTTTTACAGCTGATCAAATTAAGGTCTGCATTTTTTGAAAGTAATGCAATTTATTTTGATGATTTTTAAGTTTAAAGTAACTTTGTACATTAAACTTGCAAGGTTTTGCTTATTTTACTGCAAAGCAGGGACATCAGCACAACATGTGGTTAGTCTAGCGTAGAATGAGGAAAAGACAAAATCCCTCCTAGCAACAACAACAACTCTTGCCTACAGGTTGGTACCTTTTTTGGGCTCGATAGGCAATTGAAAAGCAGATCATTTTCTCTACGAAGAAAAATTACGCTCTACAAGTCTCGCAGAAACTTGGACGAAACCGAACAAAGATGAGAAGGCATGGCGATTTCGAAAGAACTATTCTAAGCAAGACCTACGGCCCTACGGAATGTCGAACTGTACGAGCAGTTTAACGACATGGACGTGCATAGTTATATGAGGCTCCGGTGAAAAGATCCTACGAGTCGGCACACATGCGTGGTCAAAAAATGACGCCCAGAAACACTATGGACGAACCAAGTGCGGAACAACTTGCCTGCACTCGGAATGCACAACTGCCGAAACTTCGTAAAGGTGAGAGTCAATTGGCGAAGTTCTTGATCTCAACCCAAAGCCGAAAAACGATTATAGTACCAAATAAGATGATGGCCGAATAAAAAAGTTTACGAATTTGTAAAAATGTACGAATCGTGTGGTCCAACGTTAAAAACAAAGCATAAGCGTAAAAGTGAGTCTAATATTTTTTTCCAGAAGAAATTAATCAGTACTTGTTGCTTATTTTTTATTCAATAACAATAAAAAAATGCTTTGTGAGTTTTCGAGGCGTTTCGAGTGTTTTCAAAATTCTTTCGGGACCGTTCAGGTGTTTTCGGGACTTTTCCCCGTTTCCAGATTTCTTCCAGACTTGGAACATTTCAAGATACTTACTTGTGTTTTGCTATTCCAATTTTTTCGGAACTTCTCCGTTCTTTTCTGATCTTTCAACCCCTAGATTAAATTTTAACTTTACTCCTTATGAATGGCATAAAAAACACTGGTTAATTTGCGCCAAAAAATACCGGCTATTTTCTGCAAAAAAAGACTGGTTATTTTCTAAAAAAAAAACATTGATAATTTAATTAAGTTAATTTTCAAATTTCGTGAAACCGAGCTAACAAATTATAAAACTCAATGCATCTGCGGAGTAGTAATTACTGAAGTAAAAATCCTAAACCGTTTAGAACGGATTCCTTTTTTAAGTTTAAAAATCTTAACCTCTCAACAAATAAGAACTAAAAAATATAAAAATACTTAATACTCTCCGATGCCTATAGCTAATTTGAATGCAGTATTTCTGAAGCACAACTTTGCTCTTAAATTAAAACCTTTGGATATTCACAATTTACCCAACTGCACGCTCTTCAAATCATTTATACATATTGCATGTGGTAACCAAAACTTGCATTTCATCACCGCAACCGTAAAAAATAAATAATTGTGTTTGTATATATGTGGTATGTATAAACCAGTTTGCACTTTCTCGTTCTACAAATGTTCGCGGCATAAGTAAACTCAAATAATACAGCTACATTTATATTTAAGGTTAAAAATAAATCAGCAAGTGCCAAGTAGATATACATATGTAATTTTATATAACTGATTGTGCTTTAGCAGCCAATTTAGCAAAATACAGAAACAAGCACAACTTTTGCCAATCTGCATTTATTTAAGCCGTTTATGGTATATGAAATACTTAGCAGATTTTGCTTGCTGCGCATTCTGTTTCGTTTTCTTTGTTTCATTTCGTTTTTTTTTTTCTATTTTCATTTCCTTTTCATTTATTACACTTTTTATTTCATTTGTCACAATAAAAACTAGAATGAAAGACTCACCTTCAACAGCTTCCTCAGAATCCTCTGTAGCTAGTTCTTCGTCTTCTTCCTCTTCTTCAACGATATCGTCGTCGTCTTCTTCCTCCTCTTCGTCGATATCGTCGTCTTCGTCGTCGACGTCCTCCTCTTCTTCTTCGTCGTCGTCCCCAACGTCACCGTCGCCGCGTATAACGACGTCACCTTCGGCTACAATCGAATCGTCCTCTAAATCAGCCGCCTCGTTATCGTCGCCGTCTTCTTCTTCGTCGCCGTCGTCGTCGTAGATCTCAACGTTATCTTCAGAGTTTTCTTCTTCCTCCTCGCTGGCGTTAATAGCACCAACAGTTATTACACCACCACCGTTTAAAACACTCTCGTCAACTGAATTAGCGTTGGATGCGCTCGATGCGTTGGAGGCGTTATTGGCGGTAGACGAACTGCCGCTTGCGTTCGTATTTGTGTTGTTGCTTTCGATAGCAGTATTTGCGTCGTTCGAAAACGATATCAGTTGATGATAATTGCGTAAGCTCTTGCGATATTTGCAATATCTGTCGACTCTGGCTGAAGCACCACTACCAGTGGCTGCTGAAGTGGTGCGACTTCCCGACTGTCCACTACTGCCTGAGCTGCTGACTGCTACGGCTGTGGCAGTTGAAGCTGCGCTATGATTTGAATTTGAATGTGGATTTGCTTTTGTATTTGTTGTTGTTGTTGTCTCAGCTGATGCAGCTGTCGATTTCGCGTTAAATTTAATGCGACCTCCTACGACTGATAGGAAGCGGCGAGTGTTGTGCTGTTGAGACGGTTGAGCCTGGTGCTGTTGTTGTCGCTTATCTCCACTACCACATTCACTTTTACGTGTGCCAGACGACGATGAAGTTGTAGCTATGTTTGCGCCACTCTGAAGATTTTTATTCTGTTTTGAATTTGCCTTGTGTTGCCTACCCTCAGCGGTGGCGGTTGTGTTGAGCTTACGAATTTGCTTTGCCTGCTGCTGTTGTTGTTGATATTGACGCTGGTTGTTATCGCTGCTATTATCGGCGGCGTTGTCACCTGCGTCGAGAGTTGCTGATCCTCGTTTGCTGTGCGCTGCAGTACGACTGTGACTGATTTTACGTGTTTTGCGAAAATAATTAAGTAAGTTACTTTTTGTGTTGCCGTTGCCGCTGCTGCTGCTGCTGCTACTACCGCTGCTACTACTAGCGCTGAAACTGGTGCGTGGTGCTGCAGCCGACGTTGATTCTACTGCTGCTGCTGACGCTGTCGCTGTCTGGTTGAAGTTAATATTATCAGTTTTGACTTTGTTTAAGCTGCTGCCCCTACGACGTGCGTGTCTTTTGGGTGCCGATGCAAATGGTAATGAATGCCTGTAGCTTTGATTGGATGTAGTGCGACCAAGATTGTGGGCGTCTTCAGTGGTAAGTGTCTTGGAGCGTGTGCGCTGTGCAACACAATCACCCTGATTGGCACCTGTGGATGTGGAAGCTGGTGCTTCTGTTGATCCCGAATCGAGACCTGACGAAGTTGTGAAACTGTTGTAGTGCGCAGTTGTTGTTGTTGGAGTAGGCGTTGACGTTGATGAGGTCGCTGATAAGTTAGAATGATAACGGCGCTTCTTAAGTGGCGAACTTGAATCTATTGGATAATTCATAGTCAATGCGTAGTATTTGCGGAAACGAAGCAAAAAATAATAACAAGAACAGTATAAAATATGTACGGTATGATGAAAATTCTAAAATTGTCTAAAGGGTTTGACAACTGTGAAATTCATTCACAATTATTTTAAAATATGAAATGGCGATTCGCTGCTAAGTATGAAGTTATTGAAAATCCGTTAATAATTCGATAATGAATGTATTCTAAATCATTTCTCAACGAAGTTGCAGAGAATGACATGAAATATCTTTAAGAGGTATAATTGAAGATAGCACAAACAGGAAAACATGAGAACTGAGTGGCATGTGCCATTAAATATTTTTAAGAAATGCAATCAATATACATACAGTATTGGCCAATACAATAGCACCCCCATTTCAAAGTGATATTGTTTCGCACTCATGTTTATTTATTTATTTTTAGGAATTTTCAAATAAAATTCAGTTAATTCTCTAACAAAACCCGTATAAACCCAAGATTTGAACTTTGTAAAAGACTACCAAAAAAATGCAAAAATGTTCACCTAAATTTCAATTTTTTCTCAGAAGTGCAAGAATTTTTTTAATATACAGTTTTGTATATTCAATTTTAGTCTAACATTGTGCAAGGTTGAAAGTGGTTAAAAATCACCGTTGATTTTTTAACTTTTTTCGCCGAAAGTGTTGTGGATTACTTCCATATAAAAATAAATTGTGTTTATTCGTTATATGAAAGCAAATGCGACAAAAAAAAAAATCTAAGAAATCAACGGTAATTTTTAACCATTGGAAACTTGCACATTATTAGACTAAAATTGAATTTGCTATAAGACTGCGTACCCAAAAAAAATTTTAATACTTAGAAAAAAGTTTGAAATTTAGGTGAACATTTGTTGCATTTTTTTGTAGTCTTTTACAAAGTTTCAAACTTGGATTTATATGGGTTCTTTAGAGAATGAACTGTATTTTAATTGAAAATTCTTAAAAATTAATAATTAAGCATAAGTGGCACCACTTTGAAATGGGGGTGCTACCAATACTTATGTACAGTAATTAAGTACATTCGTATATTTATACACTGGGGTGTGAAATATTATTATTATTTTTTTTTTATTCAACAATTTTTATCGAGCTCGAGACCGTTTTTTAATGAAAAACTTATTGTGGAAAAGCAACAATAATTGAAAAAATGGTAGGAGTGATAGCTATTTCGGAAATCACCAAATTTCCTCATCAGACTTCTTTCAGTAGGCTTCGAACCGACGATCCCACTGACTCAGCCAGTTGCCTATGCACTGTGCCTTGTAATTATCGTTGCTTTTACCCACTTTTTAATTTTTTGTTATGCCAATAAAAAATTACTATATGTTTATATTTTACGGAACAACTAGGGTTTATAACCCTAAACATTCGTCGGCTGCGATTGCCTTTCACTTTTGCACCTCCACAGTAACTTTTTTTGTCCAAACCAATTGTCAAACCTTAGTAGACCACTAGCTTACCGTTATTTTTCCTCTCTTGTGAAGTTAATGTTGTGGTTGTAGTTGAGACAGCAGCTGTAACTGTGGCTGAAGCTGAAGTAGATGCTAATGCTGAAGTTGTTCGCTTTAATTGATGCTGATCGTGGTGGCGTTTTCGATCACTGCGTGCGACTCCAACCTGGACACTGAATGAAGCAGCCTCTGTTGTAGTACCACTATTATTCAAAGCTCCACGGGACGATGCACGTTTGCTCGAGTGACTCCTGCTGATGCTAGTGTTGGGACTACTACCACTGCCAATTGCTGGGGAGCGATTTTTGCTATGTGCACGCTTTTTTCCACTGCTACTCACGATTTCCACAGCCGACGACTTGCTTGACGTTGGTGCTGATGTGTGTGCTGATTTCTGTTGCTGTAGCTGTTGAGGTTTATTAGAGCTACTTTTGCTACCACTGGCGAAACTTCCGTCACTGCCGTTTGTTTGTTGTTGCTGGTTATTATTTTTATTGCTATAAGAATGTAGCTTAATTTGTTTATGCTGCGGAGAATTTTGTGTTTGTTGCTTCTGTTTTAATTGTCTGCTGCGACGCGTTTTAGTTGAAGCCGCTTCTGCGGCTGTTGTGGTTGTGGTTGTAGCTGGCGCCGTACTCGCTATTGTGGTGCTGTCGTCGTGCCCCTCCGTCACTGCAGAGAGCGATTGACTGTTAACGGATTCGGCCATAGACGACACTTAACCGCTCTTTCGATCACACTAAACATGCCCTCGCAACACTTGTGTCCTTTCGTGTTATAGCCAATTTAATTCCGTTACACGATATCAAAGTAAAAATAAAACTAAAATAAACTGACGGTTGTGTTTGAGCTTATGGTCGTGGCTAAACGTTTTTGCTTTCCCTTTTCTGAGTGCAATTTTATTCACAACAGGGAAATAGGTTGCTGACCGAAATTGCCGTGAGCTTACGGCACTCTTAAAGCTTCGCTTCCGACTACAGCAATTGTCACTTTCTCTCTGCTCGGTTTTGCTTGGCCGCTTCAAGGAATCTGGAAGTCGTAGAAAATAATTTATTAATATGGTAAATTCAACTAATTTTGGTTTGAGCTGCATCGATTTTTTATACACAATTAATTTAATGATACAAATTTCCTTAACACTCAAAATAAAAAATGAAAGCCCTTTATGGCAAATGCTTTTGATTTAAAAAGCAAGCAACACGTAAACGCAAGAAGGTGGTGGTACTTGAACAGCTGATATGATATTTTTGTCCTACACTAGTATAGCAGAATGTCATCCAAGATGAACTGGTGTAACTTCAAGATGTCAACAAAACGAAATGGCGAAAATTGTCTCCTATTTTCTTTCATTTTGACATCCTGTTGTACCTAAAAGCAATAACAAAATACACGGGACTTTTACTTCAACTGAAAGTTGCGTGAAAAATCGCCTCATGTAAATTTCCCAACATACGGCGTCTTGCTAAGGTAGCTGAATTTACACATTCTTACTTATAAAGTAGGACTTACATATATTAAATTGTCCATCCAAAGCGGCTAAGTCACAACTTTAAGGTATTTCAGTTATCTTTTACTCAGTTGGAAGTCAGTTGAGTTTTTTCTGTATTGTAATTTCTTCAAGAAGAGATCACCAGTAAATAATATGGTTAATCAGGAACCTTAAATGTAAATAATAGATTTACTGCGGAAAGGCAGGAAAAGTGGCAAAAAATTGTGGAGTTTGCCTCATGAAAATGTTAAGACCGAGAAAAAATATAGCCTAAAGTGTTCCCAAAGACAAAGGCCGTCTGTCAAAAAATATTACGGTCCGATATGTTGTGAACATAGTAGCAAGTAGCGATGCAGCCACTTTTGCAGAAGCGCTTAAGGTATTAAACTTTAATGCGAGGCGAATGATAGTCAAATTGAGCGCAAAGGCATAATAAAAGAAGAAAAAAGCCAATTTGATCAAAATACATGTGCGAGCGTGGCAGCATTTTGCTGTGTCGCACGAAAACCGGACCGTTGCCTCTTCGGATACATATGTTAGGCCTTTCAGAATGCAAAAAAAAACACATTTAAGTTTCAATTGAAGGTTATTTGGTCCGACAAGACTAAATTAATCGCTTTCAATCAGATGACAGGGCATGGTATTGGATCAAAGACCCAAGTTAAGTCCAAGCGCATGATGTAAGGCAAACTGGGAATGACAGTGGTCGGTCAATAATAGTTTGGGGTGTATTTCAAAAATTTTGTTGGTCCGTTAGTACGCATTATGCGTATTTCAACAAAATTTGCAAGATGTAGTCGAAAAAATTAGATTTTCTGCTGAAAAATCACCCAAAACACACTGCACATGTTCACAAAGACTGGATACAAAAGCAAAAATTTGCTAATTTGAAATGACCTCCACAATCTGCGGACATGAATCTCATCGAGAATTCGCGAAATCAACTAAAAGCACATCTTACTAAGAATCCAAGTCCGTCCAATGGAGAACATGAGCTGTGAAAGCAAACTAAGGATATATGAGAGGGTATACCTCCAGAATATTTACAGAGATACGAATTATACATGCCAAATCGCATCCAAGTACTAAAAAAAGCAAAACAGTACCCATTGTGTTAATAGTACTTTTTGTCGTGTAGCATTCGCACTAATTTACAGTTTTGTCTGCTGGTTTTATTATTTTTGTTAGATTGACTTCAAATCATTATGAGAGAGGAAGTACAGGTGTACCAATAAGAATAAAACAACAAAAGTATGAATGTCGTTAAAACTTGGAAAGATTACGATGGTTGACATAAAGTGTTACACCATGTTACAGTTTTGCCCGTCAATGTAGATATGTATCTATCTTTATAAGAATTCTAGGGATATCTCGGCTAGAATGCCACCTATCTAGTACGTTTTTAGTCCAAATATTTATTTTCAATTGGCTTACATATGTTCTAAATATGAGCCAAACCTGCAACTAAATGCAGATTTTAGGAATATCCCGACAACATCGCCACCTAGCGATAAAAGTTTTAGTCGGAATATTTCATTTCAATGTGCCGACACATGTGACGTCTCAGCTTTCTTCATTTTTGGCAACAACAAAAAGTTTTAATTTTTTTAACGAAAAACCTTCTACACAGAAGTTCCAAAAAATCGCTTTTTAAGGCCCGTCCACATACAACTTTGGCGTTGCGTTGGCGCTGGCGTCGCTTTGACAGCAGCGCGAGTAACGCCCGTGCTTGCTACAATGAACGCGTAGCAGAGAATACTTTGGTTACTAAATTAACACACTAGCGGCAGATAAATAAAAAAATTACATCAATAATTGCATTAAAAACTATATTTCTTGCCCGGATTTGATTAAAAATGAAAATTAAATCACATAATTTTGATTATTTAGAACAGCTGACGAACGACGCACGCGAAAAGTTGAGAGTTGGCCATCTTTCTGCGTTGTGTTGGCGTTGGCGTTGCCCAACTTTGGTTATATGGAGACTTTCATATAAATGCATGTATTCATAGTCAGCTGTCGAAGCGACGCCAACGCCAACGCAACGCCAAAGTTGTATGTAAACGGGCCTTTACATAATCGAATCGGTTAGGCATCGCGGTCATACGAAAGACATTCCATTTTTATATATAGATATAGATTTAATGATGCTACGTTTTAATACTAAGTGCCATTGTATTCAGTAATTATAAGTACCTTTGTATTCAGTAACTACAACGGAAAACTACTAATGACTAAAGAAAGGTAAATGAAATCATAGTACTTCCTAAGCTCTTTCATGTCGTCTTAGTCAAATGGTTAGAGGTGCCTACCAATAATCGGAAGGAGGAGGCTCGATCTTCAGTCCGACTAACATTCATGTCGCTCCGCAGTAAGCAGTGGCAAATCTGCGAGTATATGGCTAACTTCCTAAATACAGTGTAAAACAGTAGCTCCCTTTTTTTAATTACTTGAAAGTTGATAACAAACGTCATTCTCAATTGAAACTGCAACCTTGGAGAACATTTCGATTGTCAAGTTTTTGAGTTCTTTTAGTTTCCACTGAATCTAAAGCCATGGAAGTATTTCTCAAAGATATCCTTTCAGAGTGGTGTGTGGTGAGAATTTTATTTGTAGTACAAATTTTGTACATTTATCGACTGTCGCGGTTCAACTACATACATACATACATACATATCGTCCCGTTTCTTATAACTGTTGTTCAAGCGTCACACTATTTTTAGTGGAACCAGAAATATTAAGTAAAAAATGCGTTTATTGTATCCTAGGAGAAGAAAGAAGGCATTTTTTCTTACACTCTCTAAATTACCTCTATTGCAGATACGAGGTTAAAGCAGAAACGGGACGATATATGCCCCCTTTAGAGTATTTAATCAAACTTGTGGTACATTTGCAATGAATTATTTTTCTAAAAGTATTATTAGCTTACACACTGCTGGGCACTTGAATAGGGAGAGCCTTTGTTGATTTTTCTACAAGCTTTTATTTAACTTGCTTTGTATGGATGTAAGTATGTATGTTTCTTTAAGTAAATTCAATTTTTAAGCAACCTCCCGATAAGCTAGAGACTTGAAACTCAAAACTTTGATCTGAACCAGATGGGGCCGGAGTCGAGATATGTGAAAAATCTGTATTTATAGTCCGATTTGGTTCATATTTGGAATGTATATCACCTATATGAGAGGAAATAACTCCACAAAAAATTTAGCCGGTAGCTGGCGCGGGGTCAATATATCTCGAAAATCTCCGCCTAAGGACTGATTTAGTTTATATTTATCATATATATAACTCACATTAAAAGGACTAACTGCAAAAAGAAAATTTGCCTGTAGGTGGCGCAGAAGTCCAGATATTCGGAGAGCCCGTATTTATGGTCCGATTCGGTTACTATTTAGAAAGCTTGTTTTAAACGATTAACTTATTTAAATTTGTATAAAGTTTGAAAATCGGATTCACATGTTTTTCGTTAAAGAATATGCTATATTTAATAAGAACTTAATGAATATTAAATAAAAAAGGGGAACTATCAATACTGAGTATAGCCCTGTAAGCAGCTCTCAAGAAAACGGTCAAGAAAAAATTGCCATTATTTCGCGTGTGTGTCCAAGGAATTTTGACATTTTTGATACCTCACAGCCTGTTGCCTCACTCTTTCCTCAAGAAATAATGGAACGGGCATATATTTCTGTTGCAAGCCTGGGTTGCCTTGTGCTCTTTTTTCACAAAAAACTTTAGAAAACCGTAGTAGAAAGCGTAGTAAATTTCTTAAGAACTGCGTACTGCCTTAAGGAAAATTGACTCAAGAAAATTTCTTAGCCATTTCTTGTTCGTCATTTTATATGGAGTTTTTGCTTTTCTTGAGAGCTGCATACAGGCCTTTTTAATCAAGTGCATGGGAGTGTACATACATTCAAACATATCGATTAAGAAAGGAATGTATTTAACACCAGGAAATATGCAGCTCCCATTGCCATTATCATTGCAGCTAATACTCGCAGATAAAAACCAATACGCACAAGATGCACACCTACAAACATATGTATGTATATGTATGTACATATGTACACACATATAGTAATTCTAAAGAGAAAACCAAGCCTACAACGCAGTTAAAGATATCGGCGTTTAAAGTGCAAAACCGCGTATCAACAAAATGCAAAACCGCGTATCCACAAAATGCAAAACCGCGTATGTGAAGCTGTAGAAATTATTTTCTAGAGCGTAAAAACACTCATATTTCAAAACGGTTCTCTTTTTTATAAAGCAATCGCATTTCTGGCCAGTATATTTAAGGACGAAAGGATAAGGATTGAGCCAAGAGCTTGTGTGAGCAAATCCAATTTTTGTCAGCCAATGTCAGTTACGCGGTTTTGCAGAATGACGATACGCGGTTTTGTACTTTAATCGACGATATGCCACTGGTCCAATAAACTCCGGCGCAGTTTTCAATAAAAAAAATAAATAAATAAAAAATAAAAATAGGAGCATAAGGAGAACAAACTTGTACTCAAGAAAGCATAAGCGCTCACACAAAGGGAACGCAAGAAATGCAGAGAAAGCAACAGCAGGCT